TTGTCGGAGCGGGTCCCAGGTCCCGCTTGGGCCCTCCGGGAGGCGGCGGCGTGAGAGCCCCGCAGAGCGAGTGGGAGCGCGGTGCTGGCTGCGCCGGCGAGTTGGGCGGCAACTCGTGGCCTTCGGAAAGTTAACTTCAGGCTCTCGCTGCCCGCAGCTCGAGCTGCGGTTGGAGTCCGACGGATTTATGGCCATGCGGAGGCGCGTTTCAGCCCCAGCTGGTGGATCAGGGCTCCGGGATGCATCGCCGGGGCTCCGGGGAGGACCTGGGCTTTGGGCCGCGGTGCAGAACGCGGCGCTTGGGGAGCGTGGCCCCAAGACGCAGCCGCCGGGGTGCGTTGAACAGCGGGGGCGCCTCGGACTCGCTCTTGTGCTGCGGGCGGTTCGGTGCTCCAGAAGTCATGGGCTAGTTAGAGCTGACAGGTTTCCCCAGTGTCCCTAAGCTGCTGGAAGCCTAGGAGGTGTCGTCACCTGTCTGGAAACCTAGGTTCTGTCTTGATTGTAGGTGCTTGCAAATCTGTGTGGAAACTTTTTTTTTTCCCCCTTCTTTTTTTTTTTTTTTTTAGTTATCAGCAACAACTTGATGAGAATGATGCAAAAGAGTGTTAGGGGCCCTGGTTGTATTTATAGGCTATGCTCGTATGCAGTCTTGCTTATTTTCTCCCTTGCCCTGGATTTTGGAAGGAGCCAGAAAAAAAAAGGTCTGGCTTACCTGATGCAGGGAGGGGAAAAAGAACAAAATCAGTGAACTGTCGGTCTCATGACCTGTCTCTCCCTATGTATGTCTGGTCTTCTCCTAAAAGATGGGAAGCATTTTGATAACAGCCTTGATCCAAGGGTTCCTTTGCAAGTGCCGGACTTGTGTTTGCCTGTATTTGCTCACTCCTTTTTTACCTAACTTTTCAAGTGAAATAGCCACTGTATTTCTTACAAAATTGAGAATGAGCTCACAGGAAGTGTCCCCTTTAGAGCATGGAGGTTCAGCTCTGCCTGGCTTCTGGAGCTCACAAAGTTGTAAAAAACACTCCTCTTTGGTGTGTGTCCATTGCTTAAGGACATATTTTCATCTCTAGCAATTTTAGGCAAGGATAATTGCTCAGTGACCATTACGGTCAATTTTGGTGCATCAGTGTTTTGAATTTAGAAACACTTGTTTGGTTTGTTGGCTTGTTTCTTCTTACGTATAGGTGTGACACCTTAGTGGACCATAGGAGGCTTTTGACTCTGTACCCTTTTCATAGTAAAGGTAGATCATTTAGAAAAAAAGAACAACAAAACACCCTCCAGATCTTTCATGTTAGATCCCTCTGGATTGGGGATGATGTGACTACAGTGTCTGTGCTTCCCTTCCAGAATCGTGAGCCTGCTGGTTAATTTCAACCGTGTTTGGAAGAAGGGAAATAAAATTAAGATCCCACCAGTTTTGTGAAATTTGGCAGCTGTATTTTGCCTGACTGAGGGCAAAGCATGGGGAAAAGTGGATGCAGAATTTTCCATTTGACAGTAATTTTTGTTGTTTAGTTCAATTAACTGGAGTAATTCAACTGGTCGCTCAGATTAACCGTAGTTCTGCTGTCTCTTGTCTGACCAGAGTGCAGGGGAGTGATTAGGAGATACGTGGGTATATGTGGTGGGGTTATGCAATCCAAGAGACCAGAGTATATAACTTGTCCTGTTTGGTTTGTGGAATTTGGCAACACCTTAAATTCATTACTTTCTATTTTATTTTATTTTTTGGTAGAAAGCAATGAGATTTACGACTTCCATGGTTAAGATTTGCCTTGCCCCCTTCCCAGCCCCGACTGTTAATTCATATGTTTTCCTATTTCTGAGCAGTGCTGAAGCATAATACAACGATGACACCGGTTATAGAATATTTGTCAGATACATTTAGCTAGCAACATGTACTATGAATACAGCCTAACTTTTCTGTGCATTTCCTTGAAATAAGGGCGATTTAGTAATCTCAGCTGCTATCCATAGCCCTTCAGTACCTATTCCTAGTAAAGTTTTGAACACCCACAGGCTTTAACAAGACAGAGGAAATTCAGGAAATAATTTTTAAATAAGATTCTGGGCAGAAATCAGACAAAGAAACTGAAGAGTTCGAAAACTTCATGACAACTTGGTGTAGAACAGGTGTTTTTGAAACCCTTCAACTGAAAACTGAGGGGAAGATGGTAGCAAAAGAGTTTATATAAATAATCTATAAATCATTGGTTAAAATAGAACTTTTCTGAACACTTGCTTAAAACATCTCTAAGAGGGCTCAAATTCATCTTCAGTTTCTTTTCATAAGCATCATGAAATTTATTCTAAACTTCTTTTTTGTTGTTTCAGATGTTGGATGAAAATAACCATCTTATTCAGTGTATAATGGACTATCAGAACAAAGGAAAGACATCTGAATGCTCTCAGTAAGACAAAAATTCAAATCTACTGTGACCTGGATGAATTTCTGTCTAGGATGCAATTCTTTGTTTTCTGCATAGGAGAAATGCACTATGATGAATACAAAAATATTACTGTAGATATTACATTTATGACTTATTTTGTTTGCAGTATGTCTGTCACTGCAAAGTTGTAATTTGAGCTCTGCAAGTTAATAGCATGATGTTACTTTTGGGGGCTGCATAACGAAAATGTGAAAACATTTCTTTTTCATGTGTATTGTAATTACGGTTTGGGAGGGAGACAGAGTACTTGTCCAAATACTGTTATGTTATACTATGTTATCTCCAAAGGTTTGCAAAAAAACTATCATGTGCCAGATGAATCATTGCAGTGTAGCTATGGAGTCCTTTCCTAAGATAACTAGTGGTCTGGAGAGGTAAGGGGTGATAAAGGATAGGTATTTTTGTTTAAAATTAGTGTCTTTATTGAGATGAGTAGGATATGGAACAAGTTTGCATGTAAGTTCATACAGTAGTTATATGTCCATAATCTGCTCCTGTTTCGAAAGTTATTGTTGAAAACAAATGTGGGCTACATATCTTGGAATGTGGTGCTAGAGCAGGAAAAAAAAAAAGAGATCCTACCTTTTTTTTTTTTTTTTTGCAATGCTCTTGGTCATGAGTGATCTAAGTGTGTGATATCTTGCATTTGGGGGTATAACAGGGAGGTGGTTCGTAGGGCTTGTGATTGAAACTGCACCAAACAGCCCCACAAACTTACACAAGCTGTGTGCCTCCTGGCAACGGGTAGTGAAATAGTTAGGAACAGTGTCACTCTGCTTTAGGTTTTCATACCATTTTTTTTTTCTCATTCTGATGGAGAACTTGCCAGAAATTACCAAATAAACAAGTATTGGCAAAGTCACGGGATTCCTAAAAATTCTCCTTTGTCTTTTGAACCTGGTTTTGCATAGGTAGCTTTATTTACATGTGTCAAATTAAGTAGATTTTAATATCACTGTATTTGTGACTTTTTAATACTTGTCTTTATTTCTTTTGGTAGATACCAACAGATGCTGCATACGAACTTGGTTTACCTAGCCACAATAGCTGACTCCAACCAGAACATGCAGTCTTTATTACCAGCAGTAAGTACAAAGCACTATAAAACTAAAGGGTTGCTTTCTATTTGGGTTTCTGACAGAGAAAAGGTGTTTGAGCTACTGACACCAAACATTTAGCCTGAAATTTACTGTACAAGGTGGAATCTTTTTCATACAGTGTTTGGAGTGTAGTAGTCTGACTGCTTGTGTCCTTCTTGATCACAATCTGATTTGCTTAACTGAAAACTGGTATTTTGGATTAAATGCACAGTGCACAGGTTATCTAGTTTGCCTCATAGATAGTCCTTATGAAAAATCGGTCAACTTTTATTACTCTATAATTGAGCCTCTTCAGAATCCTTTGCCCTTTTGTATTATCAGAAAGCAACCTTTTTTAGGTGAGTTGTGAAGTGATAATACATAAAAAAAAAAAAAAAACAAGATTGTTAGGTTACACAGACTAATCCTGAAGTGCTGCATAGCTTTACAAGTTAGCCTTTTTGGGAATAATACTTGCTTTTTTTTCCCTAACCTATAATTTCTGTCTTCCTGAAGCCCTTATTTTATTAATTACTGGCCATTATTTTTCCTTTTCCCTTGCTTATAGAGCAGTAAGCAAAGGGACAACAGATGGTAAAATAGCTTGTTATCTGTTAGTATTACGTGTTAATTAGAAAGTTTGGGGAATTATTACAAAAGGCTAGGAAGTTCTTTGGTCTTGGTGATACGACTTCTTCATGTAGTCTTCTCATTTATGTAAAATGAAACTAAAAAAGTGTCTATAAAACAACCATTTCTATAGACTAGTTTTCACCAACTGAAATTGAATTACTTTGATCTCTGGAGAAGTGTTCTGTATTCACTGCTACTAGTGAAGCCTCCTTTTTAGTTGGTACCTAGAGGGTTATAGAAACAGTGCTTCATTATGTCCAACCTCTATGTAGAGGCTTCTGTTATAACTCTGTCCTTGTTGGATACTGGGGCTGATGGTGGGGGGACTTTAAGAAGTCTATTTTCAACTAAACTTTTTTTTCGGAGGTTTAATTCATATCCTGGTTCTGGTGACAACTGAAAATGATTTTGACCTTCTCCTAGTCCCTGGTGGACAGCTTGGTATGGTTGAATGTGGTGGCATTTTCTCCTTAAGAGAAAACAAAGATGGGGCCAAGAAGGACTTATGCAGATCAGGACTTAGGTTTATTTCTGATCTTGTATGTAAGGATGATTTTGCAGTAGCGAGTATAATTATACTTTTTTAATAACTGTTTTCCCCCGATAGATTGGGAGAGGGGATGAGGAAAAAGTATTTCATTGGTTACTCTTCCTCCTAAAATGAAATATGAGAACAAATTTGGATGTTGAGTCATATTTAAGCATAGACATTCTGATCTGCCAAGTCAGATTTTGAAGATTTGTCCGAAATGTGCTAATTTAATCATTTAATCATTCTATGATTCTATGATTCTAATCCGATAATCAAAATTAATTTGTGGTTTTCAAGGAAATTGCTCTTTAAAGTTTTCAGTTGTAGTCAGAATAATATAGGAATCTGTGAGCCATTGCCCTTTCAGTGTAAGATGCAATTGCTTCAAACTCTTTTTTTCTTCTGGTTTTCTGTTGGTGAACTGATGAGGCCCAAGCTGATAATAGGTTACGTTTCAGCACTCTTGTGTGGCCACTGTTGTACAATCTTACTAAATGCAAGGCCACAGTTAAATGTGGAGCAAGATACTGTGTGTTTAAAGGTCTACTATAGTAAAATATACACCAAATCGATGATGCAGATGATGCACTGCAGTAGCTTCCAGTGTAAATTAAGAGGACTTTAACTGGGTAGCTTCTCTAACGTTAGAGTATCTCTCATCTAGTCACATCTGGAAGGTTGTTCTGGTAAACTATACTACTTTAATCTATCTTGTGTAAGTGTTTTATGGACGATCAGCTGAAGTTAAAGTGAGGATTCTGGTCTTTCGGTAGCATTCATCTGGACAACAGAACTAAAAGCTCAGGTGAATGAATGATTTTATAACCAAAAATGACTTGGGCATAACGGTACTTTATTGTATCCTTTCTCAATAGTCCTTAGACTTAATGATTTCTGTGTTGGGAAAGATGCATGTAGTATGCGCTCTTGTGCCAGCTAGTTACTGCCTCCTTCCTTCCTTTTTTATTGGATATTAATGTGGATGTTAAAAGGAAACACTCGGCTTCGGTACCACTGGTCATGTCTTTCAGATTGGGCTGTACTAATAAAATGACAGTACATCCTTTTTGAAATGAAATAACAGTATTGCCTGTAGGGAATAAGATAAAACTTATGCTAAACAGCTTGAATTAGCTACATTGTGCACAGAAATGCTTCTGAAACGGGCCTGGACCTGAGGAGAAGGGGAACAGGAAAAGTAAGCATTGCAAGGTAGCTGAAAAGGAAGACCTAGTTCAAAACATCACTGTTATGACAAGGCTTGTGTTTGTGTGCACTGTAAATGTTCAGTATTAAATTATGACTCCTGCTACATGAGCCTTTCATCACATTAGAAGACCAAAGAGGTGGGGAGTGAACTTGCAGCTCAGCTGGCCTCTTTTCAGCCATACTTTCTTCAGTATTGCTGAGAGTGGGACTGTTCAGAGAATTTTGCCTTTTTTTTTTTTCCTTGAATAAAGATGGTTTAAATCAGCATGTGAAATTGATAAGACTTACTGTGGCCTCTTACTGAATTTTGGCAGGTATTCTCTTGAACAGCAGAGGAAAGTAAGAGTCTATTTACCAGCATTGGAGGGATTAAGCTGCCCAAAAAGGCCTTACAAAGTGAGGAGTACAACACTTGCATTCTTTAGATTTCCACTACTATCTGCAAAGCAACAGCAATAAGTTATTCTACGTGAGACAAAGATATACTCAAAAGATAGCGTCAAAGAATGTTGGAAAAGTTATTAATAAAATAGCAAAAAGTGAGTTTGTTTTGAGAGAGATTTCCCTCAAAACTAATGTACTCTGCAGGAACTCTGGTGTCCTTCATGCATACCATTGCCAATCTATCCAAAACTTGTATTTATCTGCTCAGTCTCTCTCTCCTGTCAAAGATGCTTCTTCATTTTGCTGAATGTCTCTTAGTACTATTTGAAAGGACAAAGTATATGCACATACACTAATCAAATTAGACTTATTTAACTTCAAAAAGCAAGATGGCTTGCAGGAAAGAACTCTTGCTGTGAAGGTATTAAAATGTGAATTATACGTCTGTTTGTAAAATTACGTCTTTAAAAATGAGAATCCTAACTGTGATAAAATTCTTGTCTAATAAATACCATGTTACCTGGGAAAATCTGTTAGTCATATATGTTTTCCTGCTAGTTAGAGCTGGCATCAGACTTTTAAGTCTCTGGTTTAAATCTGTGTGCAAGGAATGGTAGGGTAAATATTGATTAAATTACTTTAAAAACACACAGTTGTGTATTATAGTGGATGCTGGTGGACACCAAATAGTACATTATACTAGATACTCAGTGTTAGCTGTTAAGAGCACAGGTCTTTACCAAATTCAACTGTTCTTTTCAACTGTTTATAAGCTGAGTTAATAGAGAACAGGAGTAAAAAATGTTACATGTTACCTGTTGAGAAGCAGATGAGCTCTTAGTCAACTGAGCATGAATTTTGAAGAAAAACTGCTTTTGTTAAGTGCTTGATAAAATTTTCAAAGAGTATAATGTCTAAAAGGCTTTAGAAGCGAAATATTACCTGGGAGATAGTGACAGGAGTACAGTGTGAGTTAATGTTTTGGGGAAAGGGAGTTAGAGTGCACCTGAACAATGAGATAGATATGAATCCAAGGAGGAATTCTAGAACACATCAGTATTGAGACTTGTCTTGAAAACAAATTGTTTAACTTAAAACTTAAACTTGTCTTTAAAAATCTATGTTTCTTTTTTTTGTTTGCCTTTTTTTGGTTCTAGCAAAGGAGAATCAAGTACACTGCCTTTAAAAAAAAAAAAAAAATTCTCAGGCCAGGGACCCTCAATTTATGCTGGTGTGCCACGGTCTTAGGATAAAAGTTGCTTTTCAGGGTTTTTCATTGTGCTCCAAAGAGTCTGGAGCAAGTTTTGTGTGTCATATTCTAGCGTTGCTGTATGATGAGCCAGTGTGAGCTTATTGTGTGTGCTGGGGAGGGAGGGGATGGTTGTTCCAGATCAGTTCTGTTTCTCTGCAGGGCTGTGCAAACAGCTGGACTGGGACAACTGGAAGGGTGGGACTAGCAAGGGGAGAGGGGCTGGAGAGACCTTCCTCAATCAGCACTTCTGCTGAAAGACGTTCTCAGCAGAACAGGTCCTTTTAAGATGTTAGCATGTGTGGGGCGATTTTGCTCGTTATTGGCCCGCTTCACTTTGAATAAGAGACTCCCTAAGCTATTTTGCATGTAGTGCTAATCTAGTATGTCCACGTGGGGAGCTAGTGCACTGTGCACAAAAATCCTATTTTAGTGACCCACTGGCTTTTGTAGCTCTTTTTGTAATTAGTCAAAATAGCAGGCATTTTGGTTAAGGAGAATGCTCTAAAATGCAATCCTTTCACACCTGAAGGTGTAATTTGACTCTAATCAAGGGCAGTATCTGTAGAATAAATTTTGTCTTGTTCCTATGTTGCTTTAGACAGTTTTCTCAGAGCGCTATACCAGGCAGTCTTGTAGCACGGATGTAGTGTAAATGGGTGCGAGTCCTTTTTCATGTATGGCTTTGCTCTTCCCCCCATGAAATGAACTGAAGGCATCTTGAAAACTAAAGAAGCAGGAGATACACAGCTGTGGAACAGAAGGCTCCTGCTTCTGATTATCTTGATAGTAGCATCCTTAAAGTCACCAAACCTGGAGATTCTCCAAGTGAGTTCCCCTAAAAACATTCAAGTACAGAGGCAGGTAATTTTAAAAACAAAACTGAACTGTTTTATGGGGCAGGTGTGGAACACCTCTGAATCTGTCTAGTTTCTAGAGCTGCGTCTTCGCCGGATTAATGCCCGCAGTTACTTTTTCTCATCTTTCACAATAAAATCA